CGATTCCGAGTCGTGCAGTGTGTTTATTGTTATCTGTTTGCATAAAGCATTTATTGCAAGCAAATATCCAACAATTGTGGTCTGTATTCTAACTTATTTTTACTTTACTTTGTGCTATTAGTAACGGAACTTTCACCGCTTACTTCTCCAGCACATCTGTAGATCTCTTTTCTGTATCTCCCACCGCCTTGTTGCTCTCGAAAACACACTCTCACTCCCTATCTTATACAACTTGTACTCTCTTATAACGCCTCGTAGCTCTTGCTAACACTCTCTCGCTCGTTCTCTTGCCCCTAAATATTTCTCTCAAACTCCCTTTCTTCTTCCCTATAATATTTTTCTCACACAGTGGTTTGCATATTATTAATTATTTGCCAAAATGTCCGATATTATCTGTTGCATTAAAAAATGCAATAAAATTGTGTCGGTTGACCAAGTAAGCGTCCACTGTTGGCTGTGTGATAACATTGCGCACTTTGCTTTGGGTCGTTCCGACTCTGGCTTACACTTCTGTTGGGACAGATGTCGTCAGGCCCAGAAGGAAATTAGATCTTTTATGCGGCAGACTATAAATGGGTTCGGTCAGGTATTGGATGCTTTTCGCAAAGCTGACGACCTGTTTTCTGCGCTGGACACTCAGTTCAACAATTTACAACTGTTGAATGAGTCTCCTAAGCGCCCTTTAGAAGTAAAGCTTCCACAAGTAAACGCTCCTGCCAACCTAAAAAACTAACATCATCCATTATTCTTTCGTACCAGAACACAAGAGGCTTACGTCTTAAGCTTTCTAATGTGGTTTCGGTAAGCTTCTCGTTTGCTTCCCAGGTCATTGTGTTTACCGAAACCTAGCTAACTCCAGAAATTCTTAATTCTGAAGTTTTCCTCGGTAGGTACACAATATATAGGCTTGACCAATCCCTCGGAAATGGTGGTGGAGTCCTAATTTCAGTGGACTCAAATCTCGTTTCCAAGGTGATAAATCTTGAAACTGGAGACTTAGAATTTATCACAGTTAAAATTTCATTCTCTCCGTTAAATTTGTGTATTACTTGCTCTTATATTCCGCATAAGATGAGCGGCACCTAGCAGCCATTCAGTCTGTCTTCTCAATGTTATCGGACATTGATCACCTGATGGTTATGGGTGATTTTATCTTACCCCAGGTGGCTTTGTCCCAGAACGATAACACCCTAGTTTTAACACCCACAATCATATAGGGAATTCTTTAGGTCGTTTGCTCGATCTGAGCTTTCTCTCTGATACGGACGCTGTATCCATATACAGAGCTCCACCTCTCACACATCCTGAAGATCCTTATCATCTATGTACTATGCCTAAGAACAATTACGCTCATATGAAAATTCGATGTTTTCGTAAAGCCGAATTTAAAAAAATTAATAACTTTATTTCAGAATTTGACTGGTCCGATTTTTACTCATGTACCGATATGTCGACTGCTCTAGATATATTTTATAGTACATTAAACCTAATTTTTGATCGCTTTGTTCCGTTGCGGTATCCGGCTATGGCGGATGAATCTCCTTGGTATACAAGGCACCTTTCTAATCTAAAAAATATCAAATTAAGATTCTTTAAAAAATACTTAAGAACTAATAGCAATGACTTATATGTGCATTATATGGTGGCTAGGTCTATCTTTACCGTACATAACACTCAGTGTTATAAGAACTATTTAGCTCGATGTAAGAACCAGTTTGCTCTGGATCCGGAACAGTTCTATAGTTTTGTTAACACTAAGCGTAAACCTTTCCGTCTTTGGCATCGTTTGGAAAATCTACTGCAAGCACGGATCAGGAAATTGCCGATCTTTTTAAAAATTAATAAACGCGCAGACTTACGTTTATGATATCCCCGGTCTAACTTTATTTCCCGACACTGGTTTCCAAAATAAACTTCAGACGGATGTCATTTACACTGACTTCAGTAAGGCATTTGACTCCGTGAATCACGGCCCACTATTTGAAAACTCGCGAAACTTGTTCAAGGATCAAATTTCCAGGTCCTTGCAACATGGAGGAACCACACATTATCCATACAGCCAAAATTCGCCAACAGCCATTGACTTTGCAGTCTATTTCGAAATGATCTCTGATCACATTCCACTAATAATCTCATTAAGAGTCGATGCTTTAAAAATTAGTCGGCGGCGTCAAATTCTTCCTCGTAATGCAAGTGTCCCGCGGTTTCAGGCTGTAATTAACATACTTGTTAATCTCAATATGGTGCTCAACTTCCCTGAAGATATCGACGATGCAGTTGAAACTTGTGCTCGGAAATTCAAATCGCTGCGGAATCGTCAACCTACGGGCAAGTCTCCAACCCTTCTAATCCATCTCAGGCACTTTTAAAACCTGAGATTATGGATTTGGTAAGGCCGAAAAGATAATTGCGTCGTAGATTTATTAGGTCCCAAGATCCAGTCGACAAAAGAGCATATCGACGTGCTGAAGACGAGCTTAAAAAACTCCTGCGTAAAACCAAGCGTAAGTTCTTTGAGGAAATGCTTTTCAGTGCGGACCCCAGCAAACCTTACGGCTTCAACCTCTGGAAAGCTACTAGGAAATTAAAAAGTCAGCCTCTTAGGAAGATCCCCGCCAAGAAAACAGACGGTACATGGTGCAAATCTGACTCTGAGATCTCATTAACTTTTGCCGACGAACTAGAGCAACGCTTCAAGCCATTTATCCTTGCGAGCTCGGAGGATGTCGCTGATACTCGGGCCTTTCTCAACTCTCCTGCTCCAAATTAGGTTTGCCTCTACATTCAAAAGCTACACTCCAGTAAGGCGCCAGGATTTGATGGCATTGATAGCAGGGTTGCTAAGGCTCTCCCTAAAAAGGGAGTCCTGTTCCTTGTTCCCATTTTCAACTTGATGAGAACCTTGCTGGATCATACAGGCCGATAAGCTTACTACCTACATACTTTAAAATATTCGAGAGAATATTTCTTAGTAGAATTATGGGAGTAAGAACCATTCAGGACGCCATTCCCGACCACCAGTTTGGTTTTAGGAAGCAACATGGGACTCCTGAGCAAGTCTATCGAGTTGTGCATGGTGCATGTGAATGCCTTTGAAAACAAGCAATACAGCTCTGCTATCTTCCTCGACGTTAAGGAAGCCTTTGATCGAGTGTTGCATGATGGCCTGCTGTATAAGCTAATATCTCTTCTCCCGACTTCCCAATTCCTCTTACTTAAATCATATTTACTTGGTCGAAGTTTTATGGTTGATGTAAGAGGGGTGAGGTCAAGCATAAGATCTGCTCGTGCTGGAGTTCCACAGGGGAGTGTCCTGGGTCCCGTGTTGTATACCCTGATCACTTCAGACCTGCCTTGTCCGATGACACGGCGTTCCTAGTCAACTCCTCTTGCTGTATCGAGGCATCAAGAATCACCCAGGAATTTCTGGACACATACGGTAAGTGGACTAAGAGGTGGAACATAGCGAATAATGGAAGGAAATCACAACACTGCTGTTTCGCTCGGAGAGTGCAGTCCCTTCCGGAGGTTAAACTTCACGACGACATTATCCCGCAATCATCATAGGCGCAGTACTTGGGCCTCATTTTGGATAATCGCTTCACGTGGAGGCTGCATATTTTGAAAATAGCAGTTACTTGTCATTCCAAGCTTAGGAAACTCTAATGGTAGCTTAAGCCAACGAGCAAGCTTAGCCTAGCTAACAAAGTGCTGCTGTACAAATTGTGGTGCCCTCGATGATGAACTGCATCCAACTATGGGGCTTGGCTTCGGATGAAGCATGATTGCATGATTGCAAATGCGCCTTGGTACGTCAGAAACAAAGCTCTAGAAGATGACCTCCACATTCCCTCTATTAGGGAACAGATAAACAGGCACTCGAGTCGGTACAACGATCGTCTCACAGCTCACACCAACCACCTAGCCTCCTCGCTGGCTATCGCTACTATTAGAAGACGTCTAAAGCGAAGGCATCCAGCCGATCTCTGGAAAAGAGGACGCCAAATTTCTCGAGTCCTAAAGCGGTAATTTAGCATTAGCATTTAGCATTGATCTCTTGTTATCTAGTTATAAAAATTTGTTAATTTCCTTCCTGTTATGTATTTATGTTATTTGTTCCTTGTTGTACTCAACGTATTATAGCCATTAAGTTGGCTGATTGAAAGAAAAAAAAAGTGTCTGCTTTAGTCCACGCTTCTTCCGGGGTCCCTAAGGGGAGCCATCTTGGTCCGTTACCTTTTCCTTTATTCATTAATGACTTTCCCTTGGTTGTTAATGACTCCCAAGTACTTATGTATGCAGACGATGTCAAACTCTGTCTGCAATATACCGATGCCTCCTACCAGGTGACCTTAATAATTTTTAAAACTGGTGCTCTGCAAACTTATTAAATCTTAATGGCTCTAAGCAATGACCTTCTGTCGCCTAAATTGCCACTTATACTCTGCATGGTGTAGCTCTGGAGAGTTATCTATTTTACTAGGTCTATCAATATTTTTGAGGTCCCTACGCAGCGAAAATTTATTTCAGCATCCTGCTACGCCCACTCTAACACCCACAATGAATGAATGTCTTTTTTTTACATTCTCTAACACTTTTTTGTCAATATATATAGATTTGCTAAATATTTTTTAATTCGGAACATAATTTCGCTATTTATGAAGAAATTTATTGTAAAAGTCCTCACATGAAGAGTGACTTCACCTTGAATTACTTAAAATGCTTTTTTGTCAAAAGGTGTGGCTTTGTCAATTTCCACTAGCAAAATGAATATTATATAATTGTGTAAAACAGTAACGAGAATTTTATAGTCTCGGCACTCGGCTATAGCGTTTCTAGTTGTTACAGTTAAATTTTCGGCTGTCTCACCTTCAATATACTTTATAATTTTGGGAAAATTTTCTTTTACCCTGTAAATACTTTAATATAATACATAATAATATAATAAAATATTCTTCTTTTCTTTAAGAGTCATATGTATATTCATTTATACGATTTTTATGTTGTTACTTAATTTCATTTTAGGGATTGAAAAGCGTCCAACATTTTTCGTTGGTAGTCGGTATGGACGGTCAAGCACCAATACTAGAACCAGCAGCACTGGAACGATACAGAGCTTAAAGTCTAGACGAATAATTATTGCACCTCGGAATGATCATTTCTATATTGGCTCTAGATACGGAAAACGAAGTGCTTGGTCTCTACCGCCCTACGAACAGATAAAACTTGATTTGGCAGTCAGTAAGGAAACTGGACACAAAGAGGTGGAACACATTCTTAGTTTTAGCTCAATAATGCTGGCCTCAATAACATCGTGCACTTACGTTAGTATGAAAAACTACCATCGATGCGTTGAGTAGGTTTTTTCGATGTTCTTTTTCTGTCAATCTCTATTGATCTCTGAAGTAAGTTAAACCATTGATAGAATGAATGTGTGCATCTAAGAGTGCAAAGGGAGACATAAAATAGTAATTAAATATATTAGGAATATTTTATGAATATGTATTGCTTTATAGACACGCTTCCAAGACAGGTACTGAATGGAAGGAACTTATCAAAGTCGATACAGCCAATACAGTATTCGTACTTAACCGCCATATAAGAATTGCTATAAGATAGTCATAGATAAAAAATTTAGGCATATTTTTTATATGACTACAACAACAATGTCAAAAAAAGTGTATCTCTAACAAAACACCGTGTGGTGGTCGTACATTTTTGGTCAAATTTTTGTTTGATTATAAAATTTAAATGGTTTATATTATTGAATAAGGGAAAGGGAAATAATATTAACACATTTAATGTTTAAAAAAATTAAAAAATTATTAAATTAAAATTAAATTATAATAAAAGCGTTCACAGGTGTCCATGAAATCAATTTGAAAGGCAATGAACAAGATAATGTAATATAAATTTTAAAGAAGAAGCGGTTTAGTTTAGTGCCGCGACTACAAGATACCCGTTACTGTTTCCTTTTCTGCAGTTGTTGTGTAACATTTCCAATGGGCTTGCCTTAGTTGCTCGCTTAATTGTACAATTTAATGAAAGTTGAATTTTAATAAGAGCATCCTATCAAGATAGCTGGCTTGCTTCTATCGCAGTCAATAAATTTTTCGTTATACTCAAGACCTAGCAAACAGCAAGTCCTCCCATTACGTTACACACTTCATATGTTTTGGTCAAAATAAGTTTAGTGACAATATTGTTATTATAATTATCATATTATTAATTTCCGCGCCTAAACCACAAGCCAATCGTTCGAAATTTATTCGCTTTACTCTGCGATCTATTTAAATTCGATGTATGTATAATCAATTCGCCATGACCAATGGAACTTGCGTCTTAATATGTATTACGTATGGATGAGCAATATCACCCAGAGCATTTATAAATGCACCCAAAATAATATTATTATTATTATCTTTATTCAGAAATTTTTACTGTGGACGGAATTTCTATTTCGCTTTTAACATTATTGTCGCCTATGCCGCACAAAACTATCAAATTATTCGTCGGCTAGCTTCATCCAGTGTTTCTTTTGCGAATGATAAGCGTTTGGAACCTGAATCAAAGCAAAATGGAAACCTTTTACCAAATTATGCTGCAGTCTCGTTAGGTTGATGTATCGCACATATGTCAAATCTTCTCTCGCTTCTCATCACTGTTGCACATTGATGCTGTATAACAGGTAACACACTTGAAACAGGTAACACATGGCTTTTCATTACCTTGCGTTTTCACTCAGTCCTGGCGCATTTTGGTTCGGCAATCGGTGATTTTTTGGCCTCGAAAAGCCATGCCGCTTCTTGTTAAAAAGAACGCCTTCAATTTCGTCTGAAGTTTGCTTATAGATTGCATATTTGAAGTAAATACAGGAGAACCCGTATAGTCGAGTGCCGTAACTATAAAATACTTGTTTTAAGAAGGGCATTCATATATTCCAGTTTTTCATAAATATTTTACAATTTATAATTATACAAAATAATACGGTGCCATACAGATGAAATAGATAATTCAGCATACAGTGATGCTGAAAGAATCGTAAGCCTTGATTTTGATATTAGCTAGAAGACTACTCCCGACATACTCCCCCCGTTGGAAGAGACATACTTCTAAGCGAAGTGGTTTCAAGGGGCAGGACAGCTGATTTGATTGTTGCCCGCTTGCACAGTCCAGAGCTAGTGCAGATCACCGCAACTCGACCGACGCAATCATCTCTGGAGACGGTGCTCTCCACCCTGCCGAGGCGCCAACTCAAGGGGGGTAAGTTGTCCTCATTGATGAGGACCATGCTGCCTAGTGTACCATGTCCGATTCTTCCACTTGAAAGCTGGCCAGAGAGCGAGTTCTCGACGAAGGTGAAGATGAAAATGACGACGACGATGATGACGATGAGGAGAAGCAGGAGAATTTGGCGTCGCCGCCTATTCCAGTATTTTCGCTGCCACCCACAAGCACTGCGGACTAGGAGGAGGAAGTGGATGTGCAGCCAGTTCCAGCCGGCATTAGGAAGTCCATGAATTTTGCAAGATGAGTGCAAGTGGATCATAGAATGTAGCGATTGTTAAAAATGAATGCTGCGCTTGATTGTGGTATGATCTGTCCAACAGTTTGAGGCACTGATGAACAAATTTTCCGATAGGGTATGCCAAGCTGGGCCCAACGCTCATGCAATATCTGCATTTTTGTGTTGGAGTCAATCCTAGAAGTTGTGGGCATTTCGTCATATAATGCTCATTGGACTCACATAGTATACACAATGGCAATGTCAAAGACGAAGCAATAAGTATGGTGCGGTGACTTTTACTAGCTACATATCCCACCTGTTTGCTAGGTGAAAATAGCGTAGAACTCTGGCCAATTGATGTATGCTTTACCAAATCGCGGAAGATGAAGTTCCGGCAGTCCGGTTAAATTTTCCATTCACTTTCTTTTATCACTGTTTAGCGGCAGATTCTCCATTTTGTTTCACAGAACGCGGTGGTAACTCTTATGCGCGGTTCGAGTTCCATCTCCGCGATTCCTAGCCGTTCGAGAATAAGTTGAGAGCAGTTAGATGGGCCAGATTTATCGACAATTAAATGTGACACTCATGCATCTGATTTGTAAATAAACTTTTTGTTTATTCCTGGCTGTGGGAATGTCCTAGGAGGGTTGGGAACGTCTCGAAGAAAGTTTCAAGTTGTTTATTAAAATTTCAGATTTCCTTTAACAAAAAAATGTGTTTATTTTATTATTTCTTTATGTCAATGTTTTTGTTTTTGTGTCTTGTTTTTAGTTTTCAATATATGATGAACTTATTAATTATTTTTCTAAAAGCAGTTTTGTAAAGACTTCTTTCCTGACTCATCAATCTGCTTTAAGGTTATATAGTTTAAAGTACTTTTTGTATTTTTTTATTTCCTTTTCATTCTTTTTTCTGGATTACAATATATGTTCGTACTGTTTGCTGCCTCCCATTCGTACTCAAATTTTTTATGACATCCACCAGTGTCGATTCCTTCCGTCTGGCCGTCTGTCATTACGATTTCCCCTCACCACCACCAGGTTCCTTAATTCAGAATGGATTCTGATGGAAGTTGTTTATCCTAATAAAGGGTCACTTCACACTCATGCATCTAGTTTGTAAACATCTTTCAGGAGCATGTTACGGCATCTGTTGCTCACGTGCCGAATGTGACGGAGCTTTTTTTTGGCGCGAAATCATGAACCAATGAATTAAACTGTTTGTTTATTCCTGACTGTGGGAATGTCTTAGGAGGATTGGGAACGTCTTGAGGAAAGTTTCAAGTTGTTTATTAAAATTTCAGAGTTTTTAAGATTTCTTCAAGGCAAAATGATGGTATAAACGAATAACGGGTATATAAATCGGAGAATTCTATTAGTTCTTCCAAATCATTCTATCGTGCTACATCGTTCAGAGCTTTTTGAAAAGAAACAAAAAGTGAAAGTGTATTGAAAGTGTATTAAATATATAAACTCAAATAAATATTTTTTAAATAAAAAAGACTAAAAATGAATAACCAATTCGAGTTTTGTCATTCGTGTCAATTGTTTGTTATTAAGAACAAGTGGACAACCCATGTCCTCAAGGAGATGCATAAGAAGAATCCAATTCAACCTGTCGATGGACGCATTAAGAAAATTTCGGGAAGTTTTAAAGGAAGGATTCTCCATTACATGTATGTAAACGATGGATCGGACATCCAATTTACTGAAAACTTTATGAGTGAAGCCGGATCGTTTTTGCTCACACATCTCAGTACATTCTTAGAGAGTTATATATCGGTAAAAGAAAATCTCGAGTTATTTGCCTAATATATACTCTTTAGGATGAAACGGAAGAAATTGAGATTAAAAGTTTTCAAAGTAAAATGAGTATTATGAATCAGTACTCGGATTTGAAATCTATTTTTCTTGAGCATACTATTGATAGTAACCAAAACCCAAGAATTCCAAGAAAAATATAGCGGGTGGGCATTAAATAAAGTAGTGCGGCTAGAAATGGTTCATCATATATCCCGCTTCCAAAATTCTTAGCTTCAAAGAAAGCTATTATTAACGTATGTAATAAAAATGATTCATACTTTTTTAAAAAGGCCTTGATATCGGCTTTGATAAGTGTAAAAAAACCCCAAAGATGTAGTTCATATAATATTGATATATCCACTGAAAAAATATTTTTGAGTAGTGGATTAATATTGGATTTCACCAATTTAAATTTCCCCTTGGAAATAAAATGTGTGAAAACATTTTTAAAGAATAATCATTATATGAGTATACACATTTTTGAGTATAATGAAAAGACCAAGCAAATAATTAGACCACTTTTTCAATCGGAGATTGAGAAATTATGTCATATAAACATGCTGTGTTTGGAAGATGGAGGAAATGGACATTACATGTTCATTTAAAATATTTCAAGTATGTATCATACAATATAATATAAATGATTATATAACATACTAAATAAAATATTCATTGTTATTCTATAGATTATTAACAACCTAAAAGGGGTCTCAGAAGAGATCACAATGGTTTTGTAATGTTTGTCTGAATTTCTCTGGATCTGCGGCTGCTGCTCTAAGACATAAGACTGTTTGTAGCGGAAAAGTGTCCAGGCTACCGGAATCACACAAACGAACTCTGAGGTTCCGTTCGTCGTATACTCTGACTTTGAATGTGTACTGGAGCTGAGAAATATTGAAGTAGGCCCAAAATTATTCAATTTTAGTTAGATACATTTGTAATAAAAACAGGTAGTAATGCAGAATCAAATTTTGTAGACTCTCTTGGATTCTTTAGATTCATCCAATCAAAATGACTCCAGAAGATGAGATTAAATTTCGGCATTCATTAAATTGTTATATTTGTAAAAAATATTAATAAAATATAGAGTTAGAGACCATTGTCATTTAACAGGGTTTTTAGGGGTGCAGCTCATTCTAAATGTAACTTAGAGTATAGACTATGTAAATTCATACCAGTGTTTTACCATAATTTTTCAAAATTTTTTTTTTTTATGTATTTTTTTTATAGCTTTGCTTTTATTTATTGAATCTACTCTTAATTTGGAGACTAACAATAAGTGGACGAATCTTAACATTAAAATTTAACTAACAGTATACTAAGACTGCATTCTGGTTGCGCGTCCCTCAGGTCGGTCGCTGGGTGGGTAGGTCATTGCGACGAAGGCGTGATTGGTTGCTCAACCTTGTTAAACCTCTCGCCAGGTGGTTAGGGTGCACCGATAGCTTGGTGAAGTACTTTACCTTTTGTTCTGCGATCACTTCTTTGACTGGTTGAATGTTTAAGTCGCGTGTGTATGTTTTCGTTGCGAACGTACCACGTTGCCCCGGTGATTTTTCTCAGGATCTTCGACTGAACTCTCTGAACAATGTCAATGTTGCTATTGCTGGCGTTTCCCCATAACTGGGAGCCATCCATATAGGTTTTAGTACCGAGTTGTACAGCATGATTTTATATTAAAGGCTAAGAGGTGACCGGGCGTTGATAAGCCAATGAAGGCTGCTGGATTTTAGCTTTAGGTATGTTCTTTTGGCTTCAATGTGCCGGCGCCATGTGAGTCTTCTGTCGAGATGTACTCCTAGGTAAGTTACTTCGTTTGCTTGTGGGAGTAGAGTGTTGTTTAACGTAATCGGCGGGCAGTTTTGCCTGTTCAGAGTGAACGTAACGTGTTTGCATTTTAGTTCGTTCACTTTAATTCGCCAATCTGATAGCCATTTTTCAACATCGACCATATGACGAGCTAGCTGCGCAGTTGCTTGAATCGGGCATTTAGAACGGCTAAAAATAGCTGTGTCATCGGCAAACGTAGATGTTGTTAGACGTGTGCTTGTCGGGATGTCTGCTGTGTAGAGGACATATAGTGTTGGCCCTAGCACGCTACCTTGAGGAACTCCAGCTCCAACAGTGTAATCATCAGATATAGCAGTGTTGCACCTCTCAACAAATTTTCTGTCGTGAAGGTAAGACTCTAAGATCTTGTAGGTGCTCTAGGGGAGCATTGTCTTGATCTTGAACATTAGACCTTCTAGCCAGACTCTATGCTTGAGAGACATCTAAAAATATGGCTGTACAGTACTCTCGTTTTTCGAAAGCGTTTCGAATTTCTGATGCTATCCGGTTGACCTGCTCAATTGTTCCATGCTTTTCACGAAACCCAAATTGGTGTGACGGGATTCCTTCCTGGATTCTCAGGTATGTGTTTATCCGAGTCATTAGGCATTTTTCAAAGAGTTTAGATAGGCAAGAGAGTAGGCTTATAGGTCTATATGACGTGGGGATAGTGTGGTCTTTCCCCGGCCTTGCGATCATTATTATAATTGACTTTTTCCATCTCACTGGAAAGTGGCCAAGTTTTGCGATGGCATTAAAGAGCTGGGTGAGAGTGCAAACGGCGCAGTATGGGAGCTCAATGATAATTTTGGGAGTTATGACGTCGCAGCCCGGGGATTTTTTCGGATTCAGTTGTCTTTTGATGATATTTACGATTTCGTTTGGGCGAAACTCAATTGGCTCATGTTGAGGCTGGGGCTCATATGATAGAGTCGGCAAAGTAAACCCATTAGTGGCAGGATTTGGCTGGAAGACATTTTTAAGGTGGTTGGCAAACGTGCTGGCTCGGTCTGCGTCACTGCACGCCCAGCCGCCCGTGGAATTTCTAATAGGCATCACGGTTTCTTTCGGTGAGCTCAGAGTTGGGTGAGCTCTCCATAGTGAGTGTTTTGTACTATTAGTTGACAATTGCTCAATGTAGCGGCGGTGGACATATGTTTCTTCTTGCTGTAGAGCTTGAGCAAGTTTACGTGAGGCATGTTTTAAGCTTTGCTTAGCAGATGGCGATCTGTGAAATTGCCATGCTCGACGTAAGCGTCGCTTTTCGAGGACGAGCTGTTCGATTTGTAGATTTGACTTCTTTTGATTGCATTGTGTGTTTATAGTATG